ATATGAGTCTGGGTCCCCAGAGACTCGCCCCGAACTGGAGCTCAGAGCTTGAGACTCCCTACCGATTGAAAAAGACAACCATGTCCTCAGCCGCCAGCCCTCTCCACGTGCGCCTCCGTACCTCTGTATTTTACTTCTGAACCGCAGCTACTCTGAGTCTCGGTATGCTTTTCTCTTTCCTTCTAGTTGTAGAATTTCCACTCAGCAAGCCTTCCTGCGGTCTGGATGATGTCTGTTCCGTCTTTTAGCTGTATTCTTGAAGTGGTTGTGCTAAGCAGCAATCTCTGGTGTTTACCTATGCCGCCAACTTGGTTTTCTCCATTCGGTAGAATGTCTTCAAGGCTGGATGATATCCCATGGTATGGGCGGCCCACATGCTGTCTGTGCACTCATCCACAATGAACATTGGGCTGTTTCCATCTCTTGGCTGTTGTGAATAATGCTGCTATGAACATGGGGGTGCAACTATCTGCTTGTGCCCTTGCTTTCCCTTCTTCAGGGTATTAATCCAGAAGTGGGATTGCTGACTCTTGGGAGCATGCAAAAATATATTTTTTTTATTGATTTCAGAGAGGAAGAGACAGAGAGAGAGAAATAGAAACCTCAATGATGAGAGAGAATCATGGATCTGTTGCCTCCTGCACGCCCCACACTGGGGATCAACTCCACAATCCGGGCATGTGCCCTGACCAGGAATCAAACCCTGACCTCCTGATTCATAGGTCGACACTCAACCACGCCAGCTGGGCTGTAGCCAATCTTAATTGTGTCTTTCACAAATGTCCAGAAGTGGAACTGCCTGTTAGAAAGTTTGTACATCTTTTGATTGACTTTGGAGACAGAGAAAGAGGGCGAGAGAGAAACATCAATTTGCTGTTCCACTGACTGATGCATTCATTGGTTGATTCTTGTATGTGCCCTGACCAGGGATTGAGGCCGGCAACCTTGGCCTATTGGGAAGATGCTCTAACCACTTAGCAACCCTGCCAGGGCGAAAGTCTGTATATTTAAAGGCTTTCAATAAATATTGCCCAAGGACCCTTCGCCAGCCGTGCATGGGGGTCAAGTGTCTCCATTCTGGAATATGGCATCTCCCTCTCCAATATAGTGCCGCTCACGCTCAGGGGGCGGTTCCAGGCCGTGGGTCCCACCTCATGACGCCCTTTATTGGTTTGCAGATCCCCTGGAAACATGGCCATCGCCATGTTTGAAAACGCCAATTGCCAGGCAGCGAGTTTCGCCCTTAACACTGTGGGATGGATCTTATCCATGATCTGCATGGGCCTGGCCGAGTGGCGGGTGTGGTACATGGAGAGCAGCTCCGCCCCCTCCCGGGGGCTGGCCTGCATTGGGATGTGGAAGGTCTGCACTTACCAGCCCAACAGCCTCCACAGCAGAAACATAGAGTGTCACCGCTACACCTACAGTGACACCTACCTGCCGCTCGATATCCGCATCGCTCAGAACCTGCTGCTGGCCGCCAGCCTCCTCGGGGTCCTGGGGAAAGTGCTCATGGTCACGGGCCTGCGGAGAGTGTACGCGGGACAGCTTCAGAAGGACACCGCCTGCAATCTGTTCTTCGCTTCCGGAGTCCTGAGCATCATAGCGGGTGCATTTATCCTCATTGCTGTGATGTGGAACCACCAGTCCGTGATGAATGAAGAGGGCATACACTTCCCACCATCCTTCCACATCCCCTTCAGGCCGGACCGGCAGGAGACGGGCAGCACCGTGCTCCTGGCGGTTCTGGCTGCCTTCCTCATGATGTTGAGTGGGCTGTTGACCATCTCTTTCCAGCTGCCCTCCGACAGCCAAGTGTACCCCGAAGTCTTGCAAGTGTGAAATTCCCGGCTGCATAAGCTTTGCAAATCCACGAGAGCAGTTTATGGGGGTGAAGTATTATCAGGATGTTCTATGAAATAGTTCCAAGGCAAAGTTCATTTTGAGCAGAAAGTGGCCATTGGCTTCTATGTCCAAATTGGGCTCATTGATTGGTTAAGGAACTTTCATTAAAAAAATTTCCAAAAAAAACCCACTGTCCAGATGTCTTACTGAATCTGGATTTTAATTACTATAGGGTAAATAATCAATGCTATACACCTATTGTGTGGAAATGAGAGTAGCTGGGATTCTCACAGCTCCCTCTCAAATGCCCACTAAAAACAACCGGCCTGACAGTATATGGCATGGCCCTAACACCTCTCCACCACATGCAAGTCCCCACATGTGCAACAGTAGAACGGTGGAAGGAATCCCCCTACCACTATCAGACTCAACAGTTACTGCGATGTTGCCATATTCGCTTTCTCTCTCCTTCCTTCCCTTCTTTTCATCTATTTTCTTTCTCCAGAGAACTTAAATGCAAACCCCAGACTTCACGTTCCTTCATCCCTATGCACTTCAAAATTATTCTCTTAAAAAAAGGACATTTCCTTGCATAACCATAGTATACCTTTAAAGTTAACAACTATTTATGAACATCAAATACTTACCAGAATTTTTAAATGCTTTTATTTATTTCTTCATTTTTGCATAAGATGTTCACTCTGCCTCTTAAATCTTAATTATTTTTAAGAGAGGGGAGCATTATTTTTTAAAAAAAATATTTTTATTGATTTCAGAGCAGAAGGGAGAGGGAGAGATAGAAACATTAATGATGAGAGATAATCATTGATTGGCTTCCTCTTACGCATCCCCACTGGGATCAAGCCCTCAGTCAGGAATCAAACCATGACCGCCTGGTTCCTAGGTCCACGCTCAACCACTGAGCCACACCAGCTAGGCTGAAATGAGCTTCTTCTCAAAGAGTATTTAAGTCTTTGAGAGCACAGTGCTTGAAAAAATACCCCCTCCCCCCGGGCAGAAGTCTATCAGCTATTTAAATCTGTGTTCCAAAGACATTGCCTGTGGACCCTAGAATGTTCAATGGGACATTTGCCTCTGGGCTTTGAATCCGATCTGTGGGCCATGGATTCTTCCCTCTTCCCTCTGATGGAGCGAGTGTACAGTGTTGGAAGCCTTCTTTAGGAAATGTTCCCTTCACTGCCTGCCATGATTTGCACACTGTCCTTAGAACTGGGAGGAAGTCACAGCCTCTGCATTGAGTTAGAGATCCTGGCTCCCTTCCCTGGGGTTTGAAAGGAGCCTCTGCCTCCCATGGGACGTTCAGGGCTGGCCTTGGGCCGAGTCTGACCCATTCTCCATGCAGGTCTGGGATGGCTGGGAAATGGCTCCTAGGGAAACAGTTGTAGTCGGTCTCATTTTTTACAAAAGTACATATTCATTGATTTTATAGAGAGGAAGGGAGAGGGATAGAGAGTTAGAAACATCTATGAGAGAGAAACACCAATCGGCTGCCTCCTGCACGCTCCCTACTGGGGATCGAGCCTGCAACCAAGGTACATGCCCTTGACCAGAATCAAACCCGGGACCCTTCACTTTGTGGGGCGACGCTCTATCCACTGAGCCCGGTTTGAAAGAGGATGTGTGTTATTTAAGTGAGTCAATCCTCTGGTTATTTGAAAAAAGAAGCTCTTGGGAGACATGCTTCTGATGAGGACCCTTTATGGAACCTCATACCCTGCAGAGGGCGGCGCGCCTGCCTCCTGCTGGTCACGCGGGGGAATGACGGAACCGCTGAGGCTGAGGAAAGCAGTCTCTCGACCTCTCCTGGCCCTCACTGTCAACAGAGAGCAAGCGGACAGGTCATGAGGTTCAGACGCAGAAGGTGAGGCAGCCACCAGGCGGGGTCTGCTCTGGGGAAGCGGGGAAAAGACTTCCAAGCCCCTGTCAAGGGCTCTTTGGCAATGACTGTTTAAGGGACGCACTTTATTATTTTTTCACAGGAATAAGGCAAGAGAACGTGTCCTGCGCATTTCCTGAGAGTGCAGCACCGCGAGGGCTCCTGAGGGCGGTGGCATTTCTCTCCTTCCTCTCCTCCCTGGGAATCCTCCAAGGTGCCCAGGAGCCAGAGGCTGCCCTGTGGCCTTTGGCTTGGTGCCAGCGTGGGACAGTGCCAGGCCCTTTGCTGGGGGCACCAGGCAGGGAGGAGTCCCTGGTGACAGCACTGGTGGAGGGAGGCCGAGCAGAGGCAGTGCCAGCCCCGCCCCGCGAGCTGTGTTCCTGCTCAGGAGTGGCTTTGCCCTTTCTCTTCCTCGTTCTCCCTGTTTGCCATCCCCTGTGGACCCTTCCTTCTCCTACCTGCCCACCGCCATCCCCGGGACATGTGTCCCATGGAGACAATAAATGTGCAACTGGACGTGAAACAGAACAGAGGCACCTCAGAGGACCCAGGTCAGCTTCCCCCCACCATCCTGGGCCAAGGACGTTCAGGGAGGCCGCCCCGTGGCCTGGCTCTGGCTCCCATCACGGCACACTTTCTCCCCATCACCGTGGCCCTTCCCCCAGGCTTTCTACTTAAGACTCTGATGAATTACAGTGACTATCTGGTCTAAGACCTCAAAAAGGACATTTCTGTTGTAGAAAGACTTCAACTCTTTTTTTAAAATATATTTTTACTAGAGGCCCGGTGCACAAAATTCATGCACAGGGGTGGGGGTGGGTCCCTCAGCTCAACCTGCACCCTCTCCAATGCGGGAGCCCTCAGGGGATGTCCTACTGATGGCTTAGGCCTGCTCCGTGTGGTTCTCTGCTGTCTGCGGGGCCTGTTTGGCCACTCCCGGGTCGCTGCAGACGACGGCCAAGCGGGCCCTACTGTGCGCGATCTGAGGGGCCTGCTTGGCCAATCCCAGGTCTCAGCAGGAAACTGCCAAAAGGGCCCTACTGTGCACGGTCTGTGGGGCTGCTTGTCCGCTCCCGATTCGTCGTGGCAACGTCCAAGCAGGCCCTGCTCTCAGCGGCCACGCCCAGGACTAGAGGACTCCAGCGGGGCTGAGAGGACAGGGTGCCCCCATCTTGTGGCTATGGGCATCACCATCTTTGTGTTGGAGTGATGTTTAATTTGCATATTACTCTTTTATTAGGATGGTTTTCAGGGAGGAAGGGAGAAGGAGAGAGAGAAACATCAATGATGACAGAGAATCATGGATCGGCTGCCACCTGCATGCCCCACACTGGGGATGGAGCCCACAACCCAGGCATGTGTCCTGAGCAGGAATCAAACCGTGACCTTCTGGTTCCTAGGTCCATGCTCAACCACTGAGCCACATATTTTTGAAACCTGCTTTTTACTTAACATTGGGAACTTACCTCCCCCCACCAATTATTTTTCAGCATAAGGTTGAATTTCTGTGTAATAGTCCACTGTAAGGACACAATGGTTTACTGAATGTGTTCTCTACATGGGGTTATGGGATGATTTCACTTGTCCCGTGGCTCAGGTATGAAGTCCATTCGGTGTGTTCCTGTGCGCATCCTTGCACACATCCCCACGTGCTGGAATAAGTTCCTTCTCACAGGAACTAAGCAGAGGTTCCTGCAGAACTTGACTCCCACATAAAATTTGGTCTTAACTATGGGCCACAAAAGCCCCACCACCATGTGCCTTTTTGACAGCCTCATTTCTCACAGCAGCCCCATCTGACACGCTCCACCTTAGCCGGCCAGCTTCTCCCAGTCAGGAGTGACCTTCACCTTCCACTGGATCTCGCTAGTGGACGCCACATTCACGATGCCGTCACCCGAGGTGCAGCGGGAAAGTCATTGCCAAAGCTCCAGGGTCTTTCCTAACGTGCTGGCTATCACTGGGCTTTCATAGCAACCTCGCCCGTGTAGGGCCAATGCTGCGGACGCCAGTGTAAATGTGTTGTCATTGCTGTTTGTTTGTTTATTTATTTGAACCCTCAACCGAGGATATTTTTCCATTTATTTTTTAGAGAAAGTGGAAGAGAGAGGGAAGGATAGAGAGAAATATGGATGTGAGAGAAACACATCGATTGGTTGCCTCCTGCATGAGTCTGGATGAGGGCCTGGACTGGGGAGGAGCCTACAACCCAAGTACGTGCCCTTGACTGAAATCAAACGCAGGACCCTTCGGTCCACAGGCTGACACTCTCTGCACTGAGCCACACCGGCCGGTGTTATTGCTATTTGCACAGTCATTTCCTCTGGGAGGTGTGGGAGAGACCATTTCTAGGGGACGGGAGAGGGAGTGGTTAGGACACCCGGCTGCTGTCAAATAGACCTTGAGGACTCCATGGTCCGCACTGAGCGCAGCCTGCTGGGAAGCAGGCAGAGAGGGTGCCTGATGAGAAACAGAGAAAGCCTAGTGGTCAGTGAAGATTGGATGCTGCCATGTGTTCCGCACCCGGCAACAGAACCCTGCTAGCCAGGACAATGGGGGTGGAATGTGGCTGTGGACTGGAGGCTGAGGAGAGGGCTGGGAGTCGTGTGCCAGGCCCTCGTGTGGCTGAGGCCCGTGTGGCCGGGTCCCACGGTGTGGCCAGTCCTGCATCGGCGGAGGACCCCCAGAGGAGCCACGTGTGAGTTGGCAGCGCTGCCTGACCTGCTAGTCGCCCTTCTCAGACACCCACTCCCTCGGAGACACATCCCTGGGTCAGTGGGGCCCAGCCTGTTTGTTTTATTTCGTGGAGGTAAAGTGGGAATAACAGAACACTTATCATGTCACCGTCAGGGTCGCCGAACAGGGAACACACAGGCCAAAAGGGGTGAGGGATCATGAATGTATTGGGTCACCTGGAGACCAGATGGGCTGAGCCCCAAATGGCACCAGCCCCAGTGACAGGCAGTCAGAGGGTAAAAGGACTCTAGGCTTTAAAGGGTCCGTGTCCTGGGACAGTCCAGAGGAGAAAGATAATGGTCTTACAAGCGGGATGTGGTCTTACAAGTGGGATGTGGTGTAAGCGGGAGGGAAGGCCTGTTGTGAAGTGTCCTAAAGGGCAGATCCCAGGGGACAGGTATCAATCCAATGATTTGATCAGACTGAACAGTCACCTTTTTTAAGCGTACAGTGCAGTGTCACTAGGCACCTTCACAATGTTGTGCTACCATCACCATCATCATCTCCAGAACTTTTTCACCTCCCCAAACGGAAACTCTGTGCCAATGAACACTACATCCCCTCTGTTCCCTAGCCCCTGGCTCCCACAATGGCTTTCTGTCGCTGAGTGTGGCTGCTCTAGGGACCACATAGAGATGAAATGATGCACGTTTGTCTTTGTGTTGTTGGCTTGTTTCACTCGGTAGAATGTCTTCAAGGCTGGATGATATCCCATGGTATGGGCGGCCCACATGCTGTCTGTGAACTCACCCACGATGAACATTGGGCTGGTTCCACTTCTTGGCTGTTGTGAATAACGCTGCTATGAACATGGGGGTGCAACTATCTGCTTGCAACTCTCTGCTTGTGCCCTTGCTTTCCCTTCTTCAGGGTATTAATCCAGAAGTGGGATTGCTGACTCTTGGGAGCATGCAAAAATATATATTTTTATTGATTTCAGAGAGGAAGGGAGAGGGAGAGAGAGATAGAAACCTCAGTGATGAGAGAGAATCATGGATCTGTTGCCTCCTGAATGTTCCACACTGGAGATCAACTCCACAACCAGGGCATAAGCCCTGATCAGGAATCGAACCCTGACCTCCTAATTCATAGGTTGACACTCAATCACGCCAGCTGAGCTGTAGCCAAACTTAATTGTGTGTCTTTCACAAATGTCCAGAAGTGGAACTGCTTGTTAGAAAGTGTGTACATCTTTTGATTGACTTTAGAGACAGAGAGAGAGGGCAAGAGAGAAACATCAATTTGCTGTTCCACTGACTGATGCATTCATTGGTTGATTCTTGTATGTGCCCTGACCAGGGATTGAGGCCGGCAACCTTGGCCTATTGGGAAGATGCTCTAACCACTTAGCAACCCTGCCAGGGTGAAAGTCTGTATATTTTAAGGCTTTCAGTAAATATTGCCCAAGGACCCTTCACCAGCAGAGCATGGGGGTCAAGTGTCTCCATTCTGGAATATGGCATCTCCCTCTCCAATATAGTGCCGCTCACCCCCTGGGGGCGGTTCCAGGCTGTGGGTCCCACCTCATGACGCCCTCTATTGGTTTGCAGATCCCCTGGAAACATAGCCATGGCCTTTTTCATCGACCCCAATTGCCAGGCAGTGAGTTTCACCCTCAACACCCTTGGATGGATGTTCTCCATGATTTGCATGGGCCTGGCCAAGTGGCGATTGTGGTACATGGAGAGCATCTCCGCCCCCTCCCGGGGGCTGGCCTGCATAGGGATGTGGAAGGTCTGCACTTACCAGTCCGCCAACCTCCACAGCAGACCCATAGCATGTCACCGCTACACCTACAGTGACACCTACCTGCCACTCGATATCCGCATCGCTCACTACAGTGACACCTACCTGCCGCTCGATATCCGCATCGCTCAGAACCTGCTGCTGGCCGCCAGCCTCCTCGGGCTCCTGGGGAAAGTGCTCATGGTCACGGGCCTGCTGAGAGTGTACGCGGGGCAGCTTCAGAAGGACACCACCTGCAATCTGTTCTTCGCTTCCGGAGTCCTGAGCGTCGTAGCGGGTGCATTTATCTTCACTGCTGTGATCTGGAACCACCACTCCGTGATGAATGAAGAGGGCATACACTTCCCACCATCCTTCCAGATTCCCTTCAGGCCGGACCGGCAGGAGATGGGCAGCACCGTGCCCGTGGCGGTTCTGGCTGCCTTCCTCATGCTGTTGAGTGGGCTGCTTACCATCTCTTTCCAGCTGCCCCCCAACATCCACGTGTACCCCGAAGTCTCACAAGTGTGAAATTCCCGGTTGCATAGCTGTGCAAATCCATGAGACCCGCTTATGGGGGTGAAGTGTTATCAGGATGCTCTATGAAATAGTTCCAAGGCAAAGTTCATTTTGAGCAGAAAGTGGCCATTGGCTTCTATGTCCAAATTGGGCTCATTGATTGGTTAAGGAACTTTCATTAAAAAAATTCCCCAAAAAACCACTGTCCAGATTTCTTACTAAACCTGGATTTTAATTATTATTGGGTAAATAATCAATGCTAGACACCTACTGTGTGGAAATGAGAGTTGCTGGGATTCTCACAGCTCCCTCTCAAACGCCCACTAAAAACGACCGGCCTGACCTTCCATGGCATGGCCCTAACACCTCTCCACCACATGCAAGTCCCCACATGTGCAACAGTAGAACGGTGGAAGGAATCCCCCTACCACTATCAGACTCAACAGTTACTGCGATGTTGCCATATTCGCTTTCTCTCTCCTTCCTTCCCTTCTTTTCATCTATTTTTCTTTCTCCGAAGATCTTTAACACAAACCCCAGACTTCATGTTCCTTCATCCCTTTGCACTTCAAAATTATTCTCTTTAAAAAAAAGGGCATTTCCTTGCCTAACCATAGTATACCTTTAAAATTAACAACTAAAAAGGTATCTGAAAAAAAAATAAAGTTAACAACTATTTCTTATGAACATCATATACTTACCAGAATTTTTAAATGCTTCAAAAGTAATTCTACACTTTTATTTATTTCTTCATTTTTGCATAAGATGTTCACTCAGCCTCTTAAGTCTTAATTATTTTTTAAGAGAGGGGAGCATTTTTTAAAAAAATATATGTTTATTGATTTCAGAGCAGAAGGGAGAGGGAGAGATAGAAACATTAATGATGAAAGGCAATCATCGATTGGATTCCTCTTACGCATCCCCACTGGGGACCAAGCCCCCGGTCAGGAATAAAACCGTGACCTCCTGGTTCTTAGCTTGATGCTCAACCACTGAGCCACACCAGCTAGGCTGAAATGAGCTTCTTCTCAAAGAGTATTTAAGACTCTGAGAGCACAATACTTGAAAAAATTTCCCCTTGGGGCATAAGTCTATCAGCTATTTAAATCTGTGTTCCAAAGACATTGCCTGTGGACCCTAGAATGTTCAATGGAACCTTTGCCTCTGGGCTTTGAATCCGATCTGTGGGCCATGGATTCTTCCCTCTTCCCTCTGACAGAGCAAGTGTAAAGTGGTGGAAGCCTTCTTTAGGAAATGTTCCCTTCACTGCCTGCCATGATTTGCACATCGTCCTTAGAACTGGGAGGAAGTCACAGCCTCTGCATTGAGTTAGAGATCCTGGCTCCCTTCCCTGGGGTTTGAAAGGAGCCTCTGCCTCCCATGGGACGTTCAGGGCTGGCCTTGGGCCGAGTCTGACCCATTCTCCATGCAGGTCTGGGATGGCTGGGAAATGGCTCCTAGGGAAACATCTGTGGTCGGTCTCATTTTTTACAAAAGTACATATTCATTGATTTTATAGAGAGGAAGGGAGAGGGATAGAGAGTTAGAAACATCTATGAGAGAGAAACACCAATCGGCTGCCTCCTGCACGCTCCCTACTGGGGATCGAGCCAGCAACCAAGGTACATGCCCTTGACCAGAATCTAACCCGGGACCCTTCACTTTGTGGGGCGACGCTCTATCCACTGAGCCAGGTCTATGAAACCTAAGATACAATCCTATCTAATAAAAGAGAAACATGCAAATTGACCATACCCCCGAATGCTTCCCATTGGCTAATCAGCAGGACATGCAAATTAACTGCCAACCAAGATGGCAGCCGGCAGCCAGGCAGCTGAAGCGAACAGGAGGCTTGCTTGCTCCAGTGATGGAGGAAGCCAAGGCTTTCCCGCCTACTGCTGCCCGCCTCTGAGCTTGCACTCTAAGCAACTATGTTGCAATTATAGAAGCTAAACAAAACCCAGAAACCTGCTTTCAGCCATCAGAGCTGGAGCGAGCAGGACCAAAACAATGTTGCAATTATAGAACCCAAACAA